AATGCCGCAGCCGTCGCGCTCCGCCCAGCGCCACCTGCGCCCCAGACTTCGCTCATCTCGGCACTGACGATCCATCGCTTCGACGTGGCACTGCGAGCGCGCGCCCAAAGCCTGGCTAGAGAATCGACAGGCGCAATCAACCGAGACCCCCCGCCTTCCTTGGGTGCCTGACCAGCGCGGCATATAGCTGGTTGCCTGGCCAGCGCCCCCAACGGCTCACATCTGCAAAACCGCCTCAACAAGCCCCATATCTGAGACATGCCACAAGACTCGCGGCGATACATTCGTCTGCCCAACATCCCCCCCCCCCCCCCCCCCCCTGAACTTCAAACGCGCCGAAAGACGACTGTCATCTCTGGCAGGTGGCCCCGCTGGTGAGGACCCAAAGGCCCGCGGAACTGCGCGAGCCCGCGCTTGGCCCAAATGCGCTTCCATGTGCACATCTCTCGATCAACCAACTGGCGAGGGCTTGCCATGGTGGTTTGATCCCAGACGTCCTGCTGAACGTGCACGCGGGTAAAGCGGCGAGCTCCGCCGACCCCACTGCCCAGACACTCGCGAGCCCAAGCCTTCCAAACCTTAGACTGATCACGTTCAAAATTGAGCTGCGCATCATCCGCCACCTTCAAGAAACCCTCCGTATACTCATGAGCTGCACCACCCAGCCACACGCCGATACCACGCCGAAGGAACGACTACAGCTCAGGTGGGAGCAATGGTAGCAAGAAGCGCTGTAGTTCTATGGTGCTATGCAACAGTTGCGTGGCCAGAGCAATCGGCACCGCGCACATCAGATTAGCCGCCATCAGTTTCTGGGCCTTATCACAGAATAACTGCCACGCGTGCCGCCCATGCTTTGACCACCAAGCTGCAGCTTGCAATGCCGCCGTCTCCTTGCTTTGATGAGTACGGCGCCGTGTTGGGTGTGACCCGAGTTTGGGCAGAGAGAAAGCCGCGGGCTGTTCCCGTCCAGAATGAGCGGCACGCCCCCGATGTGATCCAGTCCGTCAGAGAGCTCACGCTCAATGGCATGGACAACCCGATCCCAAGCACGCTGAAGTCTTGATTGGTCCTGCGCCGCGCCCACGCCACGGAGGGCGACCTGCCACTCGGCGTGGCGAGGAAAACGCGCGCGTGAAAATGGACGGGGAGGTGAGGGTACGTAGCCCCCTCCTGATCCACATAAGGCTGCGATGTGCGCGTTGCCAAGTTGCTACACACGGTACCATGATATTTGGTCGCGCCCGCAACTTGGACGCAAGTGGCGCGACGAAGAACCATGTGCAACACTTGAAAACCCCCGAGACCAACCTGTCATCCGCACTCTGATGAGTGGACGTTGGAATCACCAAGACAGATCCAACCCAAACGCATGAAATCGAGCACCATGAGATGATGATGCAGCTGTGCTTGCAGATGGGCACTGTCCTGATCCAACCCCACAGAGTCACGAAAGCACGCCGTTACAACCACCAACCCATTCTTGAAGCCAAAATGAACATGCGCTGCGCCCAACCTGCCTGGTGCCACATCCGCCTCGAAGAACGGAGCTGCAATTACCGAAATGCGCGACTTTGCCAGCACACACACAAACCTGCTGACGCGCCACCAGCTTCCGTAGGAATCGCCTCCTGCCGTGGTTGCCCAGGTCCTTGACCTGGCCCTGTAACGTAGCGAGCTCCGGCCCGATAGCATGATGCTCTTGGGCCGCAATGATGCTGCTGGGCGGCCCAGAAGCCAAATAGTCGACGAAAGGACCACCGCTGGAAACATTCACGGTGGTAATCGTGCCTTTGATGCCGCGCCCCTCGCCGTTGTCACGCAGATTGCGCGCGCGCGTCCTGATGTTTCTCTTGGAGCTGCATCGAGCGCCAGCGGGGGGAGAAAGCCGCATGCGGCGAAAAAAAATAGCCGACGCCACTGCCGCCGACCCATGAGCCATTCCCAAATTACTCATCAATGCGCTATATCAACAATCAACACTCGAGCCAACAGGCCACCACAGCCAATGTAAGCAATACGGCGACCAATGCATGACCGCATGCACTTTCTTGGCCATGGAACGGAGATCGGCCTCGTCCCCTGGAAGCTACCCCAGGAAATCGAGTTTCTCCAGACTGGTGCGCAACATGGTCGCATCACAGTTGTCGAAATCAGAGGGGCCAGGCTCATCAAACAATCTCGATGCCCTCCGCACGAGGCCGCTTCGCCGCGGGCGGCTCGCCCTGAGAGGCCACGTCGCGTTCCCACCTGGGCAGTGGCAGCTGCTCCACCAGCGGGTTGGACTTGACTGTAGCCACCAATTCGCCCGAGACACCAGCAGCTTGCAAGATCCGGTCCAGCACATCCAGGCTGACATGTTCAACTGCACCGCGCTCAGAACCAGGATCAGGAGGCAAACAAACAACTTGTCCTCGAGGTCGGCGATCGAACAGCGCTGCGCCTGCAACTTCGCACCATGCAGCTTGACCTCCTCCTGCAACTTGTCAAGTTCGTCTTCCTTAACCTGGCTAGCTTTGGTAAGCTTCTCCAACTTAGGATGGAGAGCTGTCGGATCTGAATGCTGACGGGCTGCTTGGAACGACGCAACGCCATGCACTTCGTTTTAGCCTTCGCATGCTGCTTGGCCCTCCCCGAGCAGCACATACGCCAACCAGCATAGACCCAAGGCTTGCCAGACCGCTGCACACAGTAGCGGCACTGCCAATCCTGCTTCTCCTTGTCGGCATCGCGCCCTGCCATGTGGCGGTGGGCCTACGCCCCGAAGACGCAGCGTGAAGACAGCAGGCGGCAGCGCAGAGCTCCCCGACTGCAGAAACTGTGGCCTCCCTGCGAGGCCGAAAGCTTAGGAGCCTTGAGCCGTTCCCTTGGCTGCAACAGAGCTCCCAGCGCTGGGAGCGACGTTGGGAACTTGAGCCAAAATTGCTACGGATCCCCGAAGGTCGATCCCACAGGCGGGGGTGATGGACAAATGCCCGCCTCGGAGCGTGGCTCTCTCGTTCTTGAGCGATCGCGGCTCTCCGACAGCGCGGACCATTATGTATGTATGCATGCATGGATGGATGGATGTATGCGTGCATGCACGCATGCATCTACGTCTGCGAGTGTCTCTATGCATGTGTGCATGCATGCATGCATGTATGCATGTTGGTATGGATGTATGTATACCTGTATATATGTATGGATGTGTGTATGCATGTATGTATGGATGCGTGAATGTATGTGTGTAGGTGTGTGTGTGTGTATGTATGTGTGTCTGCATGGATGTGTGTATGTGTATGGTTGTGTGTGCGTATGTATGTATGCAGGCATGTATGAGTGTATGTATGTATGTATGTATGTGTGTATGTATGTGTATGTGTATGTGTATGTGTATGTGTATGTGTATGTGTATGTGTATGTGTATGTGTATGTGTGTGTATGTGTATGTGTATGTGTATGTGTATGTGTATGTGTCTGTGTATGTGTGCATGCATTTGTATATGTATATGTGTGTGGTGGTGTGTGCGTGTATGTCTGCATGTTTGTATGCACATATGGATGTGCGCATGCATGTAACATTGTATGTATGTGCGTGTGTATGTATGTACGTGTGCGCATATATATATACATATATATGTATGCATGTATGTATGTATGTATACATATGTGTGTGTATGTGTGTATGCGTGTATGTATACATCTGTATATGCACATAGACATATAGTTTATTATAGATGTCTAGTATACACACATCTATATGTATGGTTGTATGTACGTGTGCATGTGCATCTATATGGTTGTATGTACGCTCCTGAGCTGCTGGCAGCGTTCAATCCTGAACGTCCGCGTCACCGCCGCTCCAGCCTCGACACGACGCGAACCTGCCAAGAGGGTCACCACTAACACAGGGGGTCGCCAGCTCCTCCTGAGAATCGAGGGTCGAGGAGCGAAGACCCACTTTTTTGCATGTTTGCTTGCACGGCGTTGAGGATGTTTGGTCAACTCTGCGCGAGGGGGGCTCGAGTATCCCTCCTTCTCAAAGTGGCCTGCCTGGTCGCCCTTGGCACTGCCTGGTCTGTGGGCAGGCAGCGTGGTGACAAATTCGCTTAAACCGCACCTGGGCGTCGCTTAAAGAATCGCCACGGCTGGTTTCTTTGAAGTTTCTGTCCTCCACATGCCTTTTCCAGGCCCCACGACCGTGAACAAAAACGACGCAATCAGAAGTCGAGATCCCTGGGGGCCCACGTCGAAAAAAGATGCGACGCCGTGCCGTCGTCCAGCACGGGCCGACCCTTGCAGAGCACGTGAGCCCACGCGCTGAGGCCCACGGTTTTCAGCTCACTGGAAGCATCGGGGGACCTCCTGATGTCTGCGGAGGCATCCAGACTCCAGTCTGGGGTAGAAAGAGCAAGGACGGTCCAGAAAAACCGTTCGCTCCCAAAATACGACCTCGGCGTCCGCACTCCCGTAATTACCTTCCGCGCGACAGACAGGCTGCGCAGCTGCTGCGGCCGCCGAGGCCGCGGCACCGGCCGCCGCCGAGCCCGCCACGGCGGCCTCGGACGACACCGACGACGACGACGACGAGGGGAGGAGGGGGAGGGGGAGGACCGGATGGGACACATGCCTCCGCCGCCACCGCCGTCGTCATCGTCGCCGTCGCCATTGCCGCAATCCACTTGTCGCCATTGTCACCCTCGCGGCCGCCGCCGCCGTCGATGACGTCGCCACCGTCGCAGCCGCCGCCGCCGCCGCCGTCGCCGCAGTCGCCGACGCCGCTGCCGTCGACGTCGTCGAACGTCGGCGTGGTCGTGAATCGGCGGCGCACACCAAGGGGGCAGGGGAGGGGGGAGGCTTCTTAGAAGAAGGCGGCTTCTTAGAAGGCGCCGGCCCTACATCTACAGACGAGGCGCGCGCCCTCTGAGAAGCGGGGGTGCTTCTACGAAGCCTTCCCCCTCCCCCTAAACTCCCTTTGTGCGCGTGGACGAGTGGAGGTCCTCTCCCCCCGGCTGCCGGGCCTGCCCGGACTCCTCCGCGGCCGCCGCGCCACTGGGCGCTCGGGCACAGGCGCGCCGCAGCAGGCTGCCGAGGGCGTCCTGGAGAGCGCGCCGCGGGGCCGCACGACGACGACGGCGCCGTCGGTGAGTAAAGGGGCCCAAGGAGACACAAATGAACAGGCACAGATCCAAGGATTCCCAAGTTGGTTCCAGATGTTCTGCATGTCCGTCCTCCCATCCAATTCCCATCTTATCCCATCTGTTCCTGGAAATCGACGTCTCTTTGCGTCTGTGTCTATTTCTACCTCCTTAGCCATCGGTGCTGCCGATGGCACCGCCAGCGGCCTGCGGGGCGGAGGCGGCGAAATCGGCGGGGCCTATGGCCGTGCCGGCGGGGCGGCGGCGGCGGCGGCGGAGGGCGTCGGCGGCGGCGGCGTCGAGCAGCGGCCTCTCTGGACAGCCCGCCGACGGTGCCGCGCAGGCACCACCGCCGCTGGTGTGCTCCCTCGACACGGAATCGCAGTCGGATCGGATCGGCTGCGCCCCGCATCGGTCGGATCGCACGGAGATCCAAATCAAGTCGCATCGAGACGGGCGGGCTAGGCATCGCACCGGATCGGATCGAGCCGAAATGGGCCGTGCAAAGATCCCCACCGCATCCTCTTCCTCCTCCTCTTCCTCCACCAACTCCTCCTCCTCCGGCACCTCCTTCGTCCTCCACCGCCTCGTCTTCCTCTTCCTCCTCCTTCTCCTTCTCCTCCTCCTCCTCCTCCCATCGTCCTCCTCCTCCTCCTCCTCCTCCTCCTCCTCCTGCGTCTCATCCCATCGTCGTCCTCCTCCTCCTCCTCCTCCTCCTCCTCCTCCTCCTCCTCCCCTCCTCCTCCCCCTCCTTCGCCGCCTTCTCCGCCCGCGCTGCGCGCGGCGGGGCCGAGGTCCTCGTACTCCTGCAGCCGCGCGCGGTTGCCCTCGTCGCCCTCCTGGGCGCGCGGCCAGCGCTCTGCGCGAGCGCGAGGGCAGCTCGGCAGAGGACCGACATCCCACGGTCGGGAACTTCTGCGTAGTGTGGCGCGTCGGCGGCCCCAGCGACACGCTATGCCATGCGAGCCGATAGCGTGTCGCTCCGCTCCGCGGGCTGGGAGGCTGGGAAAGGCTCGGGGCGTTGACGGCTGGGGACCAGGACGTGCAGAATCTTGTTTGCCAACAATTTGCAAACGTGCTGTGCCAACCCCCTCGGACTGAGCATGCCCATTTTGGTGAGGCACCTGTTGTCCGGGGACGCACGCCAGCAAGGCGCCTGGATGGCTTCGGCCACGTTCCAGAGTGACGATACTTGGCCGACAGTGTCCAACAACAGATAGCGTGTCTGGCTAAATCGCGTCGGGCAAGAACCGGCGGAACGGCACGCCAAGCCACATTTCCCAACCGCAGCACGAAGGACATCAGGAGGGAGGAATGGGGCATCCAGGGGGCACGCGCGTCGCCCCTCACGCTGTGCGTGTCACTCGTTCCCCACGCACTGCTTGCACTGGGGGCCCTGCTCCTGTTGCCCAAGGGATTGGAGGGATCGCCAAGGTTTCGCCCGGTGGGCGGCCGTGGCCGCCTTGTGGGCGCCCCGTGCGCAGGGTGGGTTTTCCATCGCTCTGGTAGGAGGTATCCGCACCCGTCTGGCTGCAGGCAGGCTTCGGGCCCTTCGGGCACTCTGTTGCAGAACAAAATCCTGCGGCCGCTCGGGAGTTGAAGGGTGTCTGCGGCCGGCGGGATGATCCTCTGCAAGGGGCACCCGATACCCTTGTCAAATTTGGATCCGCAGGTACAGATATCGAATATGGCTGCAGTTAATCGTCCTGCCCGATCCTCCGCATCTTCGTGCAGCAGGAAGAGCAGGAGAAGATACGGAGTCGTGCAGGAGCCGCCTCCTCCTCCTCATCCTGGTCCTCCTCATCCTCTTCCTCCCCCTCATCCTCCTCTTCGTCCTGCCCGATCGTCGTCCTCAGTGTCGTCGTCCGCAACGGCGCTGAAAACCACCACTACCCTCTGCCATACCCTAGAAACTCCTGAATGATTCTGCGAACCCTCCTCCTGGTCCTCATCCCCGTCCTTGCCTTCGTCATCGCCATCCTCCTCTTCTGATCTCTGTGGTCCCGTGAGCTCCATTCAAGAAGAGAGGGGGAACGGGGAAGGGCAAGGACGAAGGACAAGAGGGGGGTGGGATTGAGGGTGGATTTGTTCAGCGAGGAGGGGGGAAGATCGGCCTCCTCTTCCTCTAGCCAGGGAGGGGAAGGAGGTCGGCCCTGTTTCAGCGAGGCGAGAGAAGTCATCCTCCAACTTCCTCCTCCTCTTCTCCTCCTTCTTCAACTCCAGCTCCTTCTCCTCCTCTTGCTGCTCCTCCTCCTTCCCGACTCCCTCCCTCCCTCCTTCCTGGTCCTCCGTCCTTCCCCCTCTACCCCTCACCTCCCTACGCCCGAATACTTAATTTTTCAATACCGCGTCCCCGGAAGTCGACCCGCTCCCTAGGGCCAACTTTTCATCTCAAAATATTGTTTGACGGTCGCGGGGCCTGGTACCGGTAGGGCCTCCACGGCTGAAAATTGCCACACATATAATGCACCAGCACGTACACGCAACCCGTAGCGTGCTCATACGGAGCTCAAGACGTGAAATAAAAAGGTAAGCACCGCGGCGCGATGAGACTCGGCACGACGCAGGCCAACACGTGCGGAACCAACACGTGGCGTGTGTATCATCTGGCCGTGGTAATTACAACGAAACGGGTGGCGTCTCAGCACGGGCGCATCAGGGCAATCCAACCGCAAAGAACTCCCGACTTGTGTTGCCCAAGACGCTCGACGTCGGGCCATCACGAACCGGAAACTGCTGCTCGAGCCTCGCCCGGCCTGCGGGCCGAAGCCCCCGACCCAGACCCCAGGGAAAAGCAGACATCCCGTTGCCGCTCCTGGCCGCCCCCTCCGCGGGCGGACGCGTGCGAGGCTACGCTGCTGCTGGGGAGGCCAAACGATACCGATACCGCTACGCTCAGGACCTCTCCCGAGGTGCGTTCTGACCAGAACTTCGAGGCGAATCCAGCCGTGGGGACGAGGGCCTCCCGGGAGGCCCACCACGAGGGGAGAACGAGGGAAGGGTAGCGGCTACTCGGTACCTTCTCCTCCTCTGAACTGCAGTGCAGTGTAGACAGCGGATGTCTGGGTGTCCCGGGGCCCTCCTTCCCCTCGACGACGGGGCGCCGTCGTCGTCGCCGCCGCCGTTGGCCGCGGCCGCGGCGCCACAGGCCGCCGCCGCCAGCGACGCGCCCAGCCAAACGCAAGATCTGACCCCATGGCAAGAGGGCTCTGGCGCGCGGCTTGCCGACAAACGCCTGCGATGCGGCAGCGGCGGCCCGCGTGCTCGCGCTCGCCCGGTAAAACGTGGGCAGTGCGAGGACAAATGCGGACGGGGAAGAATCGGGGATCCCTGTGACCTGGCGGGTCTGGAGGACGTATAAGGCGCCGAGGCCGTTCCAGAGCGTTCTGGGCGCTCTGAAAGCGTTCCTGGACGCTCCGGCACGAGTCATCTGCATCCTAGGCCTGCCTGACCCTGGACCCCCAACAGCCGACCGCCAAAGGTCCCGTAAAGAACATCGGGCAAGGAACGAAACCGCTTCAAAAAGCCCCGCTGGGGGCCTCAGTTGCGCCCAGGTGCACGAGGAACGCCAGGGGGAAGCCAATGGGCAACTGACGGACCAAAGGAACATCGAGCCCCCCTCGAAACAAGAGTGCGCCTGATCGCACGACTGTGCGTGCAGCCGACGCGCGAGTGGGAGCGCGTCGGCACTACCAAGACGCTGGAAAACATAAAAATTGGAAATCCCGTTCTCATGAAAAAGGCTAGGGCTGGAAACACGGAAACACCTAGTCCGAGACGGCCAATGAGAGATCGTAATGGGCTGGAACAGCCAGGGGGAAACAGAACAGGGCCGGGCGGGAATCTGAGTGGGACGGGCTTTCCCGAGTCATTTTCTGAGCGGCGACATCCGATCCTACCCCCACCAATCATCGATTATTCTGAATCGATGCGAGGCGCAGGTAGGGTTCCGATTTCGCCACGAGCGCAACGAATTGCGAACCCTATCCCCGCCGCCCATCGAGCAGCCTGAATCGATGACCAGAGAGGGTAGGCGCCGATTCCCCCAGCTCCTTCAGAAGTCCAGGCCGGAGGCTTCGGTGTCAAGTCATGGGAGCCTCCCATCACATCTTGCTGGCTCTTCGGAATCGACGCTGGTCGAGACTCGTCGACGCCAGTCGACGCTAATCGACGCAACACCAACGCTACATCTCGTCGGTGGCCAGACACCGATCGACGCTGGTGCAGTCTGCACGGAATTGCGATGGCCCACGGCGCTCCCACGAGACTGGCGATCGAGAAGCCCCGCAAAAAAAAGCCCCGGCGGCCGGCGGGCCGCGCCTGGAACTCGGCGTCCGTCCAGTCCCGCTTCATGGCCCACTCCTTGTCGTCCCGCGGGGGCGCGGCCTCGGCCAGGCGCCGGGCGCCGCGCCGGCGCTTCCCCCGAGCAGAGGAAACAGAGGAACCACGGGACACACGAGAGCGACGAACGGAAGCGGGCCTCACGCGAGGTGCCATGGCGGCCTTGCGCCGCAACTTGGGCAGACCGCCCGCGCGGCACGCCACATTGGAGACGAAGGCGCCCACGCGCGGCCTTACGCGGGCAGCTTACGAGCCTCTTTCTGCGTCGCCCACGTGGGAAGCACCCGTGCAGGCGAAACGCTTCATCGGGTCGGGCGGGGGGGGGGTCGAATCCAGGGCTGTGGCACCCCCTCCCGCTCATGCTGATGCTGCCCCTCGCCCCGCGCGAGGGGTCTCCCCCGTGTGGTCGTGGCCCTGTGGGCGTGGCGTGGTGGGGGGTGCCGGTTCCCCCCCCCTTTTCCACAGTCGGTGTGGGGTGGTGCTGCGCCGCCGCCGCCGCCACCGTCGACGTGGTCGTGGTCGTGGTCGTGGTCGTGGTCGTGGTTGTGGTCGTGGGCGTGGGCGTGGGCGTCGTCGTCGTCGTCGTCGGCGGCGGCGGCGTCGTCGGTGTCGGTGCCGTTGTCGTCGTCGTCGTTGTTGTGGTGGTGGTCGTCGCCCCCCCCCATCCCATCAGGCGGGGGAAGGCCTGTTCAACCCTGGGGCCTATCCCATCTTGGAGGCGGGGTCTGTGAACTCTCGACCCGGGATCAGATATAGCAAGGGAGGGATGCGAATCAGCGCGCGCAGTTGGACTTCCCGGCGACTCCCAGCGCCAGACGCGCCCATGTATAGAGGAAGGCGCGTGGGAGCCGGGCCGAAACCAGTTGCACGCAGCAGTTGTCTCATCTCCTTTCTCCCTGACCATACAAAGCATTTTACAAAGACTTACGAGGCTCCGCCGAACATCACAATGCATTGACACTTGCCAATTTACCATGTGCGGCCACGCCTTACAATTTCACATGGTTGTGTTGTGTGTAGATGTGTTAGCTTGTCGGTGGATTCGCTCATTGACATACACGTAAACCGTGCATATTGAACTCCTCCGTGTCCCTCCCTCTATTCCACCTTCCCTCTTCATGCCCACGCTCAAGCGCGCGAGGGGAGGGCACCGGGGGATGAGGAAGGAGTGGAAGGGGAGAGGGCGAGGGGAGGAGGGGTGACGAAGAGGAGGGCAGCATGCTCACGAGCTCATGCCGTTCATGCTCACGGACACTACGTATACTGTGCTGTCGACCTCGTGCTCTGCACGTTCGCGGAGTCGTGCTGCTCACGCTCGCGCTGCTCATGTACCAAGGCCAGCGCAGAAATTGACATTGCCGAAATCGCAGAGGCAGAAGTCACACTGGAATAGTGGCATTGGTCGACTTCTGCGGGGGGGCACGTGGTCAGCAACGGCAAGAATAGCGTTCGACGGCGGTGCCTCCAAGCATTCCCTGCCATGGCTGGACATGTCCACGCGCTCGAACACGTGGTGCGCAACATTTGCCCAGCATATAGTCGCGAGCAGGTGTCTGACCACAAATGAGAGAGCGTCACGAAAGAAATCGGGCTTCATCTTCAGCAGGATGCGGAGTGGAAAGAGGCATAGGGGGACTGAGAGGGCAGCAGGGACCGAAGGAGCCGAATGCGAGGAACAGAAAGAGGCTGAAGACGAGGATCGGGAGGGCCACGCGGGGTTTCATAGCTCGCTGGGCTCACTGACGAAAACAGCCCGCTCGGGGGCAGCGCAAAACCCGAGGCCAGGTCCAGAGCAGCTCGCCCTGCGACTTGATCCGCCACCGTACCCCTGTGGTACGCTGTGGGGCGTGGTGTGATGCATGTTCTTCCTGGCCTGGGTGTCTGTGAGCCCCCCCACGCCTTCGTGGCCGCCTCGAAGGCCTCCAAGATGCCAAGGCGGCTTCTTCAAAGATGGCCCAGGACGGCCACCAAGGCTGTAGACGAGGCTCATACCTTCTCATGAGGGGTCATCAGGACCCCAAGAAGGCCCAAAGCGGCGCAGAGAAAGTCTCAAGATGCGCCAAAGAAGCCTGGGGAGGCTTCCAAGAGCCCACCCAGGGGGGGGGGCGTAGAAGCCAAAGAGATGATAAAACATATTCTGGCGTCGTATTTGAGAAACTCTGCACGTCGCCCGTCCTCCCCGAAGGTGCCCCCGCAAGGCCTTCAAGATTCTCCCCAAGCAACTAGGGGTATCACATATTATGGCGCCCAGTGGCCTGAGGAGCAAGAAAAAATCTCACGTGTCGCGGTCTTCTCCGGCCTGTGAGAGGGCGTGTGCCACATCCCTCGGCCCTCGGGAACCGGTACCGGCCTTCTGGGCGACTCTCGAAGGCATACAGAGTGCTGCACTGGGGCGGTGGCAGAGACTGCAGACGGCACCCGGACATTCGAACCTCCAACGGTGCCCGCCGGCCGGAGCAAGCAGGCGAGAGCTACGCGGCACGCGCCGCACATCAGACAGGGGCAGGCAATGGAAAGCACCGCGAGCGGCTCAGTTGGCCCCGCGGTCCGGCAGGGACTTACGACTGCCGCTGCAGCGAGCGCCGCCCAGCGCGGAGCGGGGAGCTGCGGAGCTGGAGGGCGGTGCAGCGCAGACAGTCGGATCGGCGCCGGGCCGCCCTCCCTGGCGCGCAGAGCGCGCAGAGGGCGGCGACGGGGTCGCCGCCAGGGGCGTCCAGCGCCGATCCAAGCAAATCCGCGCGAACATCGGGGGCGACGGGCGGCGACAGCGACAAGGGCGACGACGGCTGCGAGAACTCCGAGCAGGACGAGGACGAGGCCGAGGACGACGAAAACGAAGACGACAACGAAAAGCAGGACGACGAGGACGACGAGGGCGACGAGGACGAAGACTACTTCGACATCCCCTCGCCCTCGTCGTCGGCCTCTCCCTCGTCGTCGCCGGCACCGCCGCCGCCATCGCCGGCACCGCCGCCGCAGTCATCGCCATCCTCGCCGACGGTCGACGTCCGACCGCGCACGACGACGAGGGCGGCGCGGCGGGAGTGGGGGGGCGGATGGTGGCCGCAACCCCGCCCGGGGCGGGCGCGGATGGCAACTGCCGGGACGGCGGGCGCGCGCTCAGTCGGCCTCGCAAGGGGCGGCGGCAGGCGGGCAGGCGAGAAACAACAGGGGGGTGGGCGGGGGGGAGGGGATGTCAAACAAACTGGGGCCAGCGCCCTCGGATCCGGCCGAAGGGTCGAAGGAAAACCACAGGAGGGCCATAGAAGGGCTCCAGGAGCCCTTTGGGGGCAAAAACATTGGCACACGCGCACGCGCGCGCACACGCAGACACACGCACACAAGCACACACACACACACTGACATATATACGCAAACACACACACACACACGCACGCACGCACACATGCACGCAAGCACGCACGCATGCACGCACACACACACACACAAACACACACACACACACACACACACGCACGCACACACACACACACACAGACACACAAACACACGCACACACACACACACTCACGCACACACCCACACACACCGACACACGCACACGCACACGCACACGCACACACACACACTCCCACACGCACACCTTGTCTAATGGACCCTGTGGCGTACCAGCCCACCTGCATCAAATGACCCGAAATTTGGCCCAAACCGTTATGGATGATGACAGCGCGTAAAATCATGCGTTGTGCACGCTGCATGAGACGCCCGCGCCACACGACCCACGGGACAACAGTATAAGGACGAAGAGAGAAGCCCCGTCTTCGAAGGGGAGGGGAGCGGAACGAGAAAGAAAACGGAGGGACCGCTTGGGGGGCGAAGAGGAAAACAAAGCGACAGCACAAGCAGCAGGATGGGAAGGAGGAGAAGGACGAGGACGGGGAGGATGGACGAGAGAGGAGGGTGGCGACTTTTGAAAGGTTTCGCTTATGGGCAACGACGTCGATGCAATCTGGCCTTGGAGCACCGAGTGGCCATTCTGTCGAAATTCGTGCAGGGAGCGATCGAACTGCAATTACCTCGAACTTCCCATGTGTTTGCTTCTTTCCTGCACCTTTCGGTGCGGGAAGTGAACATATGCAGGCGTGCGTGCAGGGAACGATCGAACTGCAATGACCTCGAACTTCCCATGTGTTTGCTTCTTTCCTGCACCTTCCGGTGCGGGAAGTGAACATATGCAGGCGTGCCGCCACGTCTGCAGGCCGCGGAGCATCACGAATACCTTCGGCAAGAAAGGCCGGCGCGGCCAGCCGGTGCTGAGGCGTCCTGGCAGTGGACGCGGGGTGGCGTCGCGCCCACGCCCATATATGCGATGCCCGGATGTTTTGCAGCACGCGGCCCCCGAAAGTCCCGACCATTTCCCCGAGGCCGGCTCTTTCTCCCGAGTTGTGTTTCGACGGTCCAGGGGCCCGGCGAAGGTTTTAGAAGCCGAAAATGACGCCAAGGAAAAGAACGCTCGCCGTCCGGGCACCGCCTCCGCCGCAGGAGGCGCCCCCCCCTCGCCTTCTTGCGGAAGGAGCAGCCCTCCGTGAGCCTGGTGAGGCCTCCTGTCGGCTGGCACCTCGGAGACCGCGCGGGGACGGCCAGCCCAGGCCCAGCGCCCACCCCGGGCCGGCCATGGCAACGTCGCGAGCCCCGGCCCGCCACGAAGCCGCCTCCGAACCCGTACCAGCATGGGGGCCCGCATATACATACATACACACACATACGTACATACATGCATACATACACACATACAAACATGCATGCATACTTACATACATACACACATACATTCATACGTACATGCGTACATACATGCATATATATATACAGACAGACAGACATACACATATACATACATTCATACACACATTACAACATGCATACCTATGCATACATGCATACATACATGCACGCACGCATGCATGCTTGTGTCATAAATTCATGTATGCATACATACATGCATGCATAAATACATACATGCATGCACGCAGGCATGCATGCATGAATGCATGTATGTTTCCATTCATGTATACATACATACATACATGCATGCATGCATACATACATACGTACATACATACATACAGGCGTGCATGCATGCATACATGTATACATGCATATGTGCATGCATGTGTACACGCATACATACATACATGCATTCACACATGCATGTATGCTTACATGCATGCATACAGACATGCGCACATGCACACATGTATACATACATACGTACACCCTTACGGCCATACATACATACATCAGAACATCCATACACCAATGTCCATACATCTATACACGCACATTTGTATACCCATACGTCAACACATTCTTACATCCTTACATCCATACATTCGCACTTACATACCTCGATACATCCATGCGGCAATACATACATACATACATCCACCCACCCATCCAGACATACATGCAGGCATGCAGGCATGCATACGTGTATACATACATACGCGCGTACATACACACATGTATGTATGCATGCACCTATGTATGTTAGAACCACGCGCGCTTTGCGCGCGCGATCCCTTTCTAGCGCAGCCCAAGCTAACCTCACATGATCGAATGAGGATGAACATCATCCCGCATGGATCACCAAGTGGGAGCGTACTTTCTGACGGACGCTTAACGAGTCGCTGAAGAAGGCTCCAGGAAGTCGCGCAACGCACTCGAGGAACACCCAGGACAGCCTTAGGAGCGATGCCCGAAAGTCCCCAAGAGCCTGGCAAAACCATGCTGGGAGTCTCCTTGGACACCTCTGGGGGACGTTATTGGAGGGCTCTTGAGGGCCTCTGGGGGTGGGGCATCTGCAGCTTGTGTTGGGAGTCTCCTTGTGGCCTCTTGGGACTTCTGGGGGCGCCTCGGGAGCCTCCCCAAAGCTCGTGGCGTCTGGCCTCGAAGTGTCGGGTTGGATCCCCACTGCACCTGTCTTGGGCCGTCTTGAGGGTCTCATGGGCCGTCGCGGGGACCGCTTGGGCTGTCTTAGTGCTGTCTTGGAGATCTCTTGGGCCGCCTTGGAGCGTTGGAAAGCCGAAATCACATGATGAGGGGGCGGAGAGAGGAAGCCGTGAAGGAGAAACGAGGGAGGAGGGAAAATGACGCAGCGGGAGGAGGGAGGAGATGAAGGAGAAAACCAAGAGCAAGAACCAGAGAGAGAGAGAGAGAGAGAGATCAAGAGAAAACGACAGCAAGGGATGGGGGGAACTGGAAACGCACACTGGGGCACGCGGCAGCCTGGGACAGGACGGAGCGGGGGGGAGACCTTGAAAACAGTATGCGATGGAATTCCTTTTTTCCAAATTGGCCCTAGAGGCCCCCGAGAACACCCAAGATCGCCCCAAGAGGCCTCCAAGAGTCCCCCAAGAGCTCCTGCGGGCACCCTCGAGATGCCAAACTCGTTGAACAGCCAGGAGCGAAGGCGACACGAGGAGGAGGGAAGAGGGAAGAGGACGCAGCGGTGAGGAGGGAGGTGGAGAGGCAGGAGAAGGACGTGGAACGGAAGACGCAGGAGAGCCACGAGCACGGAAGAGATCAGGGATAATGAACAGCGATGGGTCGGGGAGACGGAAATTTATGATGCAGGCGAAGAGAGGTGGGCGTGCAGGAGAGAGGAGGAAGAGGGAGGATGGATAATTGAGGCAGCGGGAAAGAAGGAAGAGAGACACGAAAAGGATGTGGAACGGGAGACGGAGGAGAACCAAGAGCAAGATAGAGAGATCAAGGAGAACGGACAGCGAGGGATGGGGAAACTAGAAGCGCACTCGGGGGCACGCCAAAGCATGAAACAGGAGGAAACGAAGGGGAGGTACACCCTGAAAAACATGGATCTGAGGGAATCCCTTTTTTCCAAAGCTGGGCCAACCACCACATGGTGGAGCAGGATGCTGGGTGAGGGAGTCGGAGGGAGGAAGGAATGAAGGAGGCATGAGGATGATGGGTGGGGGAGGCGGAAACGCGTGAGGGAGGCGGAGAGAGAACGGCGTGAAGGAGATAGGGGAAAATGACGCAGCGGGAAGGGAGGGGGAGAGGAAAAGAAGGATGTGGAAACAGAGACGGAGCGGAACCAAGAGCAAGTGAGAGAGAGAGAGAGAGAGAGAAAGAGATCAGGGAGTATGGACATCGAGTGATAGGGAAACCGGAAGCGCACTCGGGGGCACGCCAAAGCCTGGGACAGGAGGAAACGCAGGGGGGGTAGGCCCTGAAAAAGAAATGGCTTGAGGGATTTTTCCAACCTGGGTCTCCCATCACATATAGTAGTGGAGCAGGATGCTGGGTGAGGGAGGCAGGGGGAAGAACGAGTGAAGGCGAGATGAGGATGAGGGTGGGGGAGACAGAATAGCATGAGGGAAGCGGAGAGAGGAAAGCGTAAAGGAGAGACAGAACAATTATGCCGCGGGGAGGAAGGAGAAGGAGAGGAAGGAGAAGGATGTGGAAAGAGGATACGAAAGAGAACCAAGAACAGGAACGACAACAAAACGAACGGACAGCGAGGGATGGGGGAAACGGGAACGCACTCTGGAGCACGCCAAAGCCTGCAGACGGAGGGGGGGGGTCGGACTTGAAACAAATCATTTGAGGGAATCCCCTTTTCTCAAGCTGGCCCTGGAGGCCCCCAAGAGAAACCATGATCTCCCCGAGAGACCGCGAGGAGTCCTCCAACAGCTGAGGGGAAGCCCTCGAGTGCCAAAAATCGTTGCAAAAACTGTTGTCGCATGGCCGCCTCCGATGCGCTTCCGAGGCTCGCGCATGCCCCCAAGAGACGCTCGGGACGCCTCTTGGGGGCATCTTGGGGCTCTCCTCGGGGCCTCTTGGGAGCTCTTGAGGGCCTCTCAGGGCCCTTTTCGGCACTGTATGCCTCCAGGGCGGTTCCTGGGAGCTTGTTGGGGCCTGCTCGGAGCGTCTTTGGGGCCTCTTGGGGCCACTTCGCGCCGCTCGGGACATCTCTTTGGGGCCTCGTCAAGCTCTCTTGGGGGGCTTGCGCAAGCGTGTCGCAGGAGGGAGTGCGAGAAAACAGAACATCGTTGATTTCCCATTTTTGTTCAATAATTTTGGCATCTCGACGGCTTCCCCGGAGCTCTCGGGGAACTCTTGGAAGCCTCTTGAGGCGATCTTGAATGCTCTTGGGGGCTTCCAGAGCCGTCGGGGGGGTCGGCTTGGACAGCCTTCGAGCACTCTTGTTGGGCTGTCTCGGGACGTCCTGGGCCGTCTTCACGCTCTCCCAGGGCTCTCTTGGACGCCAAGGAGGGTGGTGCCGGTGATTTGCCAAAAATGGTCGCGGAGTTGGTGGGGCCCTGGGGGGCCCTCGAAGGCCTCGATGATGTAAGGGGCAGGCGGAGGGAATTGGACGAGGGGGGGAGATAGAAGCGCATGGGCGCAAGGAGAACCAGGGGGGGGATGAGGAGGAAGAGGAGGAGCAGGAAGAGAAGAGGACGACAAAAAATATTCCCAGAGGCGTCAACGGGAACGTCTGCAACAGGACGACATCGACGACGATTGCACTGGAGAAAGCCGATTGTACTGGTGGAAGCGTCCCGTCGGGTGGGCCACCTCACGAGTGCGCAACCTGCGGCTGCCGTCCCGGCGGACTCGGGGGAGCCTCGCTTGGGAACGCCTGGCGAGCTCCCCGGAAGCCTCCAGAGGGGTCTGTTTGGGTCCCGTCGGGCCTCCCTGGAGACTCCTGGAGAGGGCTGGTCGGAGCTTCGACTCGCGTTACCCCTCGTTTTCGAAGCCTCTGGGGCCGCCTGGCGGCCCTCTTGAGCCAACTTGGGGCGCTCTTGGGGGCCTGTGGGCGACATCGATGCGGTCTTCGGGACTTCTTGGGCTGTTTTGGAGCGCAGGGGCGAAGGAAAAACGATATCCCTAAAATTCGTGAACGCCCCACCCAAAACAAAAACAATGGCTTAGGCCTCTTGGGGCTCTCTTCTGCAGACGCTGGGAGGCCTCTTGGGCCGTTTCTTGCCGCTCCCTGGTCCGGCTGGGAGCCATCTTGGGCGTCTTGGAACGATCGTTTGGCAATTCAAAACGCTCTTGACCCGCCCTGGGAGCCACTTGGTGCCCTGGAGGCCATCATGGCGCTCCCAGGGGGCGCTCCCTGGGCCCAGGACCCGCCATGGGGGGTCGAGGGGCCCGAGTTCGACCGCTCGGAACGCCTACCTCGTGCAGTTTAGTGTATATATATATGGATATGTATAAAGAAGCCGTATATACATATCCGTTGACATATATATATATATATATACATATATATACATATTCAGATACATACATACATGCATCTCTGCATACACGGAATACAGGTGGCAGAACAACGCGCACTTAGGTTCTAGCCACATCTGCGCCACGTTTTACGGCTCTTGCTTTCACTCGTCTGATCGACGACATTGCGAAGTCCGCTGCATGTGAACGTTGCAGAGTCTGCATCCGCCCCGGCCCCCTTCCCCTCCCCTCCCTCGCCATCGTGTTTCTCCTCATCCTCCTCCCCCCTGTCCTCCTCCTCCTACCTGTGCTCGTGCTCCTGCTCCTGCTCTCCCTCATCATTCCCTCGTCCTCCTCCTCCTCCTCCTCCTCCTCCTCCTCCTCCTCCTCCTCCTCTTGGTTACTCCAGTTTCACTCCTATGCGTCCTGCTTCTCTTCCTCCTGCTTTTCCTCCGCCTGTTTTTCCTGTCCAATGTTCTGCGCCTCCTCCTCTCCTCCGTTTGCAGCTTCTCCTCTTCCTACCTCCTCCTCCTCCTCCTCCGCCTCCTCCTCCTCCTCCCGAATGTTACCAGAGAGGTCTCCGCGAACATATGGGCAGCTGTTCTCCACCACCCTGGCAGGGATCGTGGCCCAAAGGGAGCTCCACCTACGGCCCCAGAGGGAAAATTCGCATGGCGTCTTTACACCCATGTCGGCACACCCCTCACACGGATCGCGCCCCACAGGAAACTCCACCGACGGCTCCAACAGGAGATATCGCACGGCGTCCCTCGGCATCATTCGACACACCCCTGACGCAGATCGTACCCCGCAAGGATCTCCATCTATGGCACCCATGGGCGATTTCCAACAGATTCCCCACACCCGGTTCGGCGCCGCTACACGCGGATCGCACTCCAGAAGGAGCTCCACCTACAGCCTTAGTGGGCGCGCTCGCGCGGCGGCCCCACAGGGAGCTCAGCGTGCCTGCGCGCGCTAGCTCAGCAGCGACCCTTTATCCTGTCTGCCCCGCGTCGCGCAGTATTTGAAGAGAGAGCCGCGCCTTGCGCTGTACGCAGCTGCAAAGGGGTGGGCCCTTTCGCCAGGCCAAGTGATCTCTCCTTTCTCTTACATGCACACATGCATGAACATTGATATACACTCGTGCATGCATCTACATGCGCACGCACATACATACACATACGTACACAGACATGCACATTAGGCACATAATATGTGCCGATTAGGCGGCGCCCCAGGAACGGGCCTGGGTTGTGGACCAGAGGCCTCTCGTAAATGTATATGAAGGTGTCTTGGGAAGTCTCTCAGAGGCCCGTTTGGGGCCTCTTGGGGGTCTCCTGGGTGCTTCCTGGGAGCCTCCTTGGGCTTCCTGGATGCCTCTTTGGGGCCCCTTGGGGGCCTCTTGGGGCCTCTTGGGAGCCTCTTGGGGCCGCCTGGGGGCCTCTTGAGGCCAAGGCTCGAAATTTGAAGCTGGTTTTCCCCCTCTGGGACCCTTCTTGGGCCTGTCCTGGAGCTCTCTTGGGCCATCTTGGAAACCTCATGGGCCTTCTTGAGACGTCCTGGAGCTCTCTTAGGGGCCTCCTGGGCCGTCTTGGGAGCCTCTCGGGCCGTCGTGGACGCTGTGAAAGCCCAAGAGGCGAATCTGCTACAAACATACGCTTCCCCCAGAGAATGGGACGGTTTCTGCTTCTTGGGGTTCTCTAGGGGCCTCTTGGGGGGCCTCGTGGGGCGTCTTTGGGCGCCTTGGGGCTGTCGCGGTGTCATCTGGAGCCGACATGCAGCTCTCGGGCTCCCTGGGACCGACGTGCAAGGGAGGGGCCGCCCCGGGGCCCGTGGGCCCAGATCTCCAATATATGTATACATGCATGCATGCATACATACATACAAACATACATACATGCATGCATGCATGCATACATACATACATACATACATACGTACATGCATGCATGCATACATCTATGCATATATAGCTGATCACATACGTACATGCATACAGACATACACACATGCATATCTGCATGTACACCTACATACATGCATACCTATACAGGCGTACATACATTCATCAGTATAGCTATATACTTATGTCCATGCACGCATATATACATACCTATATACACTAATGCATACATACATGCATGCATGCATACATACACACACTCATATGTATGTGTACATGCATACCTGTATACCTACCTACATAGCGGCATACCTATTTGCATACATAAATGCATACATACATGCTGGCATACATACATGCAAGCGTGCATCAATCCATACATCCATCCAGTCATCCATATCTGTGTATATATATACACATACATGTCTGCATGCATGAATGTATACATACGTACGTACGTGAGCACATACATACATACATGCATACAGACAAACAGACAGAGACATATGCACACATGACCCCATACACACATACACTACATGCAAACACACAGACAGACGGACAGACAGACAGACCGACATACTGACAGACAGACAGACAGACATGAATACATGCATACGTACATACGTACGTACGTACATACATACATATGCATGTGCAACTGCATATGGATCTACCTATACATATGTATATGCATACACACATGCATGTACTTACGCATGGAAATATGAATATATGTATGCACAAATGTATGCGGGCCTTCGCCCGAAACCTGGATACGTATGTAGTGGAACGTCTCACGATCGCGAATCCACTCCGAATAATGTCCACCATCCTGTGCGCGATAGCGGCTGCGAAGATAGTTTCATGATCATGCTCCTGTCCCCGATAGCAGATGTGGAGGGGAAGGACGGACTCCACGCAACTCCACCTCCCCAGGGCCGGCTTCTCATCCCGAATCGTTGTATGACGGCCTGGGCGACCTGGCAAGGGACTCCCGAGGCCGAGAGCGAGCCACGATGCGTGCGGCTCGCACGAGACACCCTCAATCCCAAATCAAACCCAGATTCTGGAAAGCAGGTTTTTGCTTCCGCAAGCTTCCGCCGCTGGTGCCGCGCCCGTTTTACTGCCGCCACAGTCTGCCAGCCTCCTGCTGAGGCAGGGATGCCAACTTCCCGATCTCTCGAAGGCGAGGCCCTCCCTGGAACGCCTTGTCCGAAGAAGACGAAGAAGAAGAAGAAGTCTGGTGGTTCAATCAACAGATCCTCCATCGTGGCTGGTCGGACGCCGATTCCCAGGCCCCCACTGTGAAGGCCTCACAACTTGGGTGCAAGTATATGGGGTCTAGGGATTGCGTCGCATCGCCAACGCATCGCCGATGCATCGGGGATGTGACAGGATCCTCCGACCCCATCTGCTCGGACCCCATTTAAGAGACCTGGGGAGACCACAAGATATCCATTCCGCTACTCCTCAGACCTTTCCCGGGGTGCGTCCCCAGCGGAGGCGAACCCGGCGGAGGCGATGAGAGCCTCCCAGGAGGCCCCAAAAACGGGAAAACGCGGCGAGGGTGGCGGCATGGGTACTTCATCCTCCTCTGAAAAAACCTGGACCCTGGGGCCGGCGCAGCATCACGTTGCAGTTCCCGCACAGCACGACGGTCTGCGCGTGGCTGTACCTCTCCGGGGCCCCTTCGGTGACGCACTGACGTAGGCCAAGACGACGAGAGGGGGGCGAGAAGGAATGGGGAGGGGGTGGGGAATTGGGACCAACGGGAGGAGGGAAATCTGTCGACGGTGCTCGAATGTTTGAAATGTTCTTCGATTATATCCAGGGGGTCGGGAAGTCCTCGCGAGAGGAATGGACGGAGGGAGCGGGGAAAGGAGCAGCGATAGTATGAGGGAGGTGGCGGAGGTAGGAGGCAGGGGACAGGACGAGGTTCCTCCAGTTTTTCGGTTGTTAAAACGTACTCAAGGGGTCGTGACGGTATCTAGGATGCGGGAGGATGCTGAGGATGGGGGAAGCAGGCGAACGGGGAGGTTTTGTCTCATTGAGGCGTTTGCAAAAGCTTTGTGAGAGCAAAGGTGAATGAGGGGGCGCTTAAATCAGCTGTTCGGGGGGCGGGGGCGACCGCAGTAAACATGCGGGTAGGGAGGAAACGGGGAGCGACCCCTGACCTGCCTGAGAGCAGCATCCGCCGTCGACTACGCTCGTCATGGAAGAACGAGGAGTTGGAGGACGAGGAGTAGAGGGACGAGGTGAACCTGAATATTGAGAGGCAGTGAGTGTGTAAATAGGAGGCAATCAAGACAATTAACCAGGCGCCTCATGATCCCTTCGCTTCATGTGTAAGGCGTGAATGGTATTTTACCGCGGAAGCGCTCATACAGTAATGCGGGGACAAGATATCATGCTCACCACGTTGTGCAAATGGCTTGATCGCTTGATCTAACCCGTGCAACTCCCAGCCTGAACACTTCTTGTTCCCATGTCTACCATTGATGCTTCCGATTGTCGTGTGCTTGTGGACGTCGCGATCAAGGGGGTGGCGCGAGGGGGAGGCCTCTGAGAAGGCCGGGGCCCCTTAGAAGGCAGGGACCTTCGTAGAAGAGCACGGAAGCTTCGGAACGCCTCCTGGAGGCCAGCCCGGACTCTGAGAGACCGCCCCCCTGCCTTCTGAAAGCCCCCCCCCCCGCCCCCTTGGAAGAACACCCCCCTAGGCGCACCCCCTGGCGCGCGCCGCCCAGCTTGCTATCGAACACCACCCAGATCGTGTGTCTGATCATTCAGGGCATAAGTACTCCTGCTGTCCCTAGATTTGCGTTGGAGACCTCACGACTCCTCCAAATACAATGCGGCTGTCTGTGGATTGTGCGTTGATCCAAGCATGGCGAACTTGTTCGACTTGCGTAGCTTTACCTCGATCTAGCCGGCGTGATACCCTCAAGTCGATTGGAGAAGAGTCGTCCAACCATTAGGATCTGATGGATGAGTACGGAGAACTGAACGCGGGCTCTCCCAGCCTGTCCACGCTTCTGGGCACAATGTGCTCCAGCAACTCCTGAACAGAACTATTCCCTCCCCCTCCTCGACCTGCATCATCATCCTCGTCGTAGCCATCCTTCTGATCCACCTGCTCGTCCTCGTCCGACTCCTCGTCCTTGCCCTCGACGCCCTCCCACCCACTCATCCTCCTCATTCTACTTCTTTTCCTCCTCCTCCTCCTCCTCCTCCTCCTCCTCCCTCCTCCCCGTCTCCTCCCCGTCTCCTCTCCGTCTCCGCCCCGTCTCCTCCCCGTCGCCTCCTCGTCTCCTCCCCGTCTCCTCCCCGTCATCCTGCCTCCTCCCCGTCATCCTGCCTCCTCCTCCTCCTCCTCCTCCTCCTCCTCCTGCCTCCTCCTCCTCCTCCTCCTGCTCCTCCTCCTCCTCCTCCTCCTCCTCCTCCTCCTCCTCATCCTCCTGCTTCCTCGTCCAGGAGAAGGCCGCTGGCGCACACGGTCGTGATCTGCAGGCAGCCGGGACCTCGGCACGCCACGGCCAGATCGAGGGCTCGAGGTTTGCGGGCTCGAAGCCCGAGGGTTCTCTTCTGAGTCGTGGTCCGAGGACTCCAGGATCGGGGCAAGAGAGCGCGTGATGGAGGCTCGGGGATGGAGGTTCGAGGATCTGCCCGCCCCAGCCTTCACAGACCTCCAGGAGGAGGAGCCCGGGGAAGGGGGGGCGCGGGCGTCGAGGTGGGAGGAGGAGGAGAGGCGGAGAGAGAGAGAGAGAGAGTTAGCCCAAGCGGGCGACTGTGCAACTCGCGCGAGTCTTTAAGGGACGTAAAGGTGGGGCAAGGGCAGAGTTGGGGTTAGGGGAAAATCGCTCCAAACGGCCCATAGATGAAGAACATGTGACTATCCAGCTGGGTTCGTCCCCCCGCCTCACCTTGGGTTAGCACCCTCTCTACGACCCAACGAGTCCCACATCTCCGACGATCAGATTTTCGATCGGGGCGGTCTTCCTCGATTTTGGCCTCTTGGGCCCATCTTCGGGCCCCAAGACCATCAAAAGCAAGTCCTAGACGGAAACATATCCTTGGGGGAGGGCTCAGGAATTATGTGGCCGCGATCTCAAAAAACCGTATCGTGGACAAACCACTATCCCGAGGTGGCAGTCGGGACCTCTGGGGCCGCGTCGTCGGATGTATGGTCTGGGCGTCATGACATGATCACGACGGACGCTGTCATCGCCCGTCATCGCCACGTCTGAAGCGCCCCAAGGCCCTCAGCCCCCGATCGATAAACGCCGCGCAACGGGGTCGGGACCTCGGGTCGTGATTTCTCAAGGCACTTTGTGACGGCGTCGGGTCTGGGGGGAGATGGTTGAGGGCGATGGGGAATGAGTGGGGGCAGCTTTCCCCGAGAAGATCCCCCTGGACGAGTTCCGAGGGCTTCTTCCTCCCTCCTGCTCCCTTCTGCTTCCTCCTCCCTGCGCATCATTCCTCCAATCCCCTTCTTCCGCAATTCCTTCGAGGAGAGCTAGCGGTGCCCGCGCAGGCGCGGCTGCAGCCAGGAGCGATGGGGGAAGCGACGGGGGAAGGCGGAGCGAATCCTGCTCTGCCGAATGGACTCCCGCCACCGCGCTGTGCTTCGGTTGATGTGCGTGTGTTGCGCATGGCACGGTTGATCTCCTGGCGCCTCGAGTGGTCATCTCCTTTCGGCGGCGAGTGATGGGGGGGGGAATGAGAAGAAAAACGGTCTCCTCAGAAGGCGGCCGGGCTTCTCAGAAGCCCTCCGGCCGTCTGAGAAGTGTTCGGTGTCTTCGCCAGAAGCTTAGGAAACTTATCAGAAGGCCAGGAGACTTCCGTGCCTTCCGAGAAGACCTCCTCCTTCTCACTTCCCTCCCCTCGCTCGCCGCCGATCCTGAGCCGTCTTCGGGCTTGAGGCCTTCTCCTCAGTGTCTGTCCTCCTCGGTGCGCTACTTCGGCCCTGTTGCGCCTCTCCTTCGCCTGTGTGGACGGCCTCCGCGTCCCGCTGATCAATCTCCGGACCGTTTGCCTTTTATCCGTGTGCGTGCAATGCTTGCGTGCTTGCGTGCTTGCGCTTGCGCGTGCGCGTGCGCGTGCGCGTGCGCGTGCGCGTGCGCGTGTGCGTGTGCGTGTGCGTGTGCGTGTGCGTGCGCGTTTGTTTCTGTGTTGTGTGTGTGTTTGTGAGTGTGCTTGTGTACGTTGGTCGTGGTGTGGTGTGGTGTGTTTGTGTGTGCGCGCGCGCGTGCGCGTGCGCGTGCGCGTGCGCGTACGCGTGGGCGTGCGCGTGCGCATGCGCGTGCGTGCGTGCGTGCGTGCGCGTGTGTGTGTGTGTGTGAATGTGTGCATGTGTGTGTGAATGTGTGTGTGTGTGCGCGTGCGTGTGTGAGTGTGTGGTTGCGTGTGGGCGTGTATTTGTATGTGTGAATATGTGTGCGTGTGTGTCTACGTGTATGTGTGAATGTGTGTGTGTGTCTGTGTCTGTGTGTCTGTCTGTGTGCGCGTTCTCGTTTCACTCGCCTGCGGCTCGGCCCGCCTGTGGTATCCTCTCGCGTTCGCTGCGCAGCCTTCTGGCGCCGCTTTCGCGGTGGCCCCCCGCTCCTCCTCCTCCTCCTCCTCCAAACCCCTCCTCCTGCACCATCTGGCTTTGGAGCCGATTCGCCTTTTTCCGTGCATGTCGTGCCTTGACTGCGCACGCTCTTGATTCTTTTCTGGAACAAAAAAGCTTGCAACTGCCACTGGGACGGAGGACGGCTCCTTCTCAATAGGGGGCTGTCGCTCGGGCTCGGGACGCCCTCGCACTTGCAGCCACAAGCTCGAACACATGTTGCAGCTGCACGGATGGATAGAGGGCGGCTTCTGCCCAACAGGTGGGCACCTCGCTCAGGACATCCGCGAATCGAGCCACCAGATGCTGGCAGCGTAAAGACGTGTGCAACAGCGGGGCAGCTCCTTCTCGAAACAGGGCTTCCGCTGGAACGTTCGTCTTCGCAGGTCGTCTACTAACTCGTGCAAGGCGGCTCCTTGAACAACAGGAACGGGGCCGTGGCTTGAATGGCAGGCCTACGGGGCGCTCGTCTTCCGCGGCGACGTCTCTTGCAGTCAGAGGAAAAAACCTTGTATGGACTTCTGAGGACTTATCGGAAGGGGGGGGTGTACGGGAGCGTGGTTGTACATCGTGGTTACCTGGGTACTCTTCTAGAGGCCTCCCACATGGGGTCGGAGCAGATGGGGCCGGAGGGTCGAACAGCATTGTCGACACATCACCGACGCATCGGCGATTCATCGGCGACGTCAGCGATGCATCGGCCGACGTCGGCGTGGGGAAAAGCACGTTCCACATCGAGCTGCATCGCCGATGCATCTGCGATGTAGCGCCATCCTCCAACCCCATACACGCGGACCCCACCTAGGAGTCCTAGGCCTTCCTCCTCCTCCTCCTCCTCCTCCTCCTCCTCCTCCTCCTCTTCCTCCTCCTCCTCCTCCTCCTCCTCCTCCTCCTCCTCCTCCTCCTCCTCCTCCTCCTCCTCCCCCCCTCCTCCTCGTCCTCCTCCCTCCTCCTCCTCCCTCCTCCTCCCGTCCTCCTCCTCCTCCTCCGCCTCCTCCTCCTCCTCCTCCTCCTCCGCCTCCGCCTCCTCCCTCCTCCTCCTCCTCCTCCTCCTCCTCCTCCTCCTCTCCTCCTTCTCCCCCCGCCCTCCTCCTCCTCCTCCTCCTCCTCCTCCTCCTTTTTCTTAGCCAGGCCGCCGAGAGCACTCCCGCTCGTGGCGTCAGTCCTCCTCCTCCTCCTCCTCCTCCTCCTCCTCCTCCTCCTGCTCCTCCTCCGCCTCCTCCTGCTGCTCCTCCTCCTCCTCCTCCTCGCAGAGCAGGGGCTGGCCGCCGAAGCCCAGCTCCCGCTGGGCCGCTGGGCACGGAGGCGCACGACCCGGGGCCAGCCCTGAGGCGGGGGGGAAGCTCCTGGGTGTGAAGGCCCAGTAGCGTCCGGCGTGCAAGGTCACCCCGCCCCTTCGCCACAAGGGAAGCGTCGCGAACGCGTCGCCCGCGCGTCGGCCGCCGAAGAAGCCAATCGTCCTCGCGAGCATGCAGCATGCCCACAGGAATCCTGGGACGAGGGAAGGCTGGCGGGCGTAGGGGCGCGGAGGAGGCCCGGGAACGAGAAGCGCGGGACACGGGCACTCCGACACGAAGCGATCTGCTTCAACCCGTGCACGCCTCAGACCTCGAAGTCGGGGGATGATCACAGAAGTCCAATAGAGCTGTGATGCCACCAGCAGCGGTGAAGCACGAAGCACCGACTAGAAACAGACGTCCTCCTACAACACCTGCGCCCGCCCCGCACCCCTGCACTCCATCAGACCCCCTCGGCACGGACGATCCGCCCCACGCCACTCTCCAACCGCCCTGGGGCGCGGAAGCGGCTCCAGGACACGGGGCGCCGAAGAATGCAGGACCCTCGGGGAAACTCCAGCTCGATGTGCCTAGATCGCCGAATGCCTGAGGGAGGGGGGCACGAGGACGGGGAGAAGGTGCGAGATGGCCGATCGAAGAAGGGGAACGAGGAGGACGACAACGAGCAGGAGTGGACCCTCGCCGCGCTCCCGGCTCGTCCGAGGCACGGACACTTCACGTCCATGAAGAAGCTATTGGGGGTCTGGATCATCCGCTTCAGCTTGTGCTTCGTCCTCTCCTCCTGAAGGACGGGGACGGCTGCTGGGGAGGGCAGGAGGGGGAGGGATATATCGAGGACCGAGGGTCCATGTGAGAAGAGGGGACGAGACGGAAAGGGATCAAGGGTCCAGGGTATTCTGGTGCTGGCGATACCCACCTCAGGCCTCCAGAGAGACCTAGACAAGGCAAGGAAGAGGAGGAGCAGGAGGAGGAGGAGGAGGCGGACAAGGAGGAGGAACAAGAGTCGCAGTCTTCGTCGTCGCCGTTTCGTCGTTACCCTCTCCGCCCACCATGGAGTTGCTGGGGGACATAGGTACCCAACCACATAGGGGGGAGTGTTTCTAATCCATGATCTGGTTTAGTCTACAACACCGAGCGCTACTTGGGGTGGCTGCGTTCGATCCGAACTCCGAAGCCGCAAGCAACCACAGGGGAAAGGACAAGAGGGGGATCCAGTCCAGTCCGCTCCTGAAGTCCGAGTGATCCGAAAGCGCCTTTACTCAAGGCTTCTGAGCGTCGCGTCTGCGACAATCTGCTCTCATAATGAACTGTGCCTAACTAAGCCTCCAGGCCCGCTCGAGCACCGCTCGCGCTGCCCACCAAGTCGATGCAACGTTCGGGTATGGACTCTGGTGGGTACCCCTCAGGGACCACCGTCGGGTCAGGTCGAGCCCTCGCCGGTCCGACCCGCCTCGCCCCGCCCTGTCCGACTAGCCGAATGAACGAGGAGGAGAAGAGGGAAGAGGAGGAGGTTGAGACTCCTATCGGTCCTGCCCCACTCTGGATTGACTACTTCGCCTTCCCGAAGGGGGCCGAGAGGGGGGGCGAGAGAACGAGGAGGAGATGCGACAGATCGTGACTGGAGCTCGGGGCGAGGAGGAGAGGCAGCAGGGGTCGGAGGCGGGCGTAAGAGACAGAGGGCGAGGACGAGGGCGGGGAGGACCCAGCAAATCCCTGCAAGCACAAGGGACGGCCCACGAAAGCGAGCGACGAGCCGACAGGCTCCTTGGCGTCGGGGTGCAGCAGGTCGATGTCCATGGCTGCTCTTGCCGCCCCCCGGCGGTGGAGGGGCGCGGCGTCGCAAAAATAGTGGGGGCGACCGGCCCGTGGGCGTGCGGTGGCTGCCCAGGCAGGAGGTCCACTTCGATCAGACCGAACCGAGTCGGGAGCGATTCCGCCCGGCTCGACTCCAACTCGCTTACGATATCTCCTCAGATCCCGGCGTATATAGATTGTATGTTCACATATTTTGCATACATATGAATGTTTATATATATATATATATATATATATATATATATCCGCCGGCCCCCTTGTGGGGCCACCAGGCTGTAGGCGCGAGGTTCGCAGTTTCCTGTACCAGTCGTAGGTTGTAGTTTCCAGTGTTACAATTCTGCTTCTTGCTGGTTACTGTAACTAGTTGATTGACCGCGCGAGGGGGGGGGAGGCCCAAACGGGATTTTTAGCACCCCCTGGGCGCGTTGTCTGAATTGCTGGGGGGGCTCGAAATCGACACCCCTCACGCAGATCCGCGGGGTCAGGGTCCAAAAACACAAGGGATTTGCCACATTTCTGAAATTCGGTGCCACCCCTCACGCAGATCCGCGGGGTCAGGGTCCAAAAACACAGGGATTTGCCACATTTCTGAAATTCGGTGCCACCCCTCACGCAGATCCGCGGGGTCAGGGTCCAAAAACACAGGGGATTTGCCACATTTCTGAAATTCGGTGCCACCCCTCACGCAGATCCGCGGGGTCAGGG